TAAAGGAATCATAAAATAATAACAAATGCATTTTGACAGTTTTGAAATTTTTCAATCATGCAGAAATAATAAAAATAATAACAAATGCATCTTTATATGTCAATAGAAATTGTTTGCAATTTTGTTGTTTTAAATTCTTAATAGTTGGTATTTTTCAATCTTTACAGGAATCATCAAATAATATAAATGCATTTTGACAGTTTTGGTATTATTCAATCATGCAGAAATCATAAATTAATAAATAATAATGTTCTTGAAATGTTCAAACTTTTTGATCTTCTAAAGATTATGTAACTACAGACTTTTGCTTACACCAATGTCATTTAATAGACAGAACATTACAGCTGTYGCTTGAAGATATGAATTTTATTTTCTAAGTTTTGAATTTGTATACCCATGTAATATCCTTTATTTAATCACACAGGAATGATAAATAATAATAAATGCATTTTGGCAGTTGATATTTTTCAATGATACAGTGATCCAAAAAAATGATTTATGGGTCATTTATGCTATTTGACAGTTTTGGTGGTTTTTCAATCACACAGGAAACATACGTAAWAGTAATTTAATCACACAGGAATGACACTAATCAATACATTTTTGACATACAGTGATCATTAATAATAAGTAATAAATACATTTTGACAGTTTTGTAAACAAAAAATCATAATGTTCATAATGATTATCCATTTTTCAACACTTATCTTTGCTCTCTGTATTTGTTGACAGTTTGTATCAAAGAGTTTATTGAAGAATAAAGAGTAAAAATCTGAACATTCAAATAATATCAAGGCTCTCTTTTCAAAATGCATAGTTTTATAAATTAAAACATCCGAGTAGTTTTATGTCAAAGAAGATTATTATTGTGGATAGAATGCTTACGTGTACACAATTCACACATATGTTTATTGTCAACAAGCTCATTTAACTGAGAAGTTTTGAAGTGTATCAGGTGAAGATTTTCAAATTCAAAAGCAAATTTAAACCAGATTAAAACTGCCAAAGGTTCTTGAAGTAGAAGAATTGATATAATTTGAGCACCAAAAACCGCTTGCACATATAATCTAACATACCGCCATTTGTTTAATAACGCCACGAGTATCGTCGGAGAATATGTCAGTTCTCCTCTGAGAAATTCTCCATCAATAATCGTTGTCTTTGGCGTTCTTCTCGATTTGCTTGAGTCTTAATAAACTTGATTGTTTCGTCTCTCACGTTTTCCCTTTCAAGCCTGCGTTGTTCTTCATTTAGACTTCTTCGACGCTCTCTTTCTCTTCTTCTTGTCTTTTCTTCTTCAGATAAAGATCGCTTTCCGTTAGCTACCCGTTGATTTTCCGACATTTGGCGCAGAAGTAAAGTATTTGAAAGGACAAAAATGGAGTCGTTGCATGCGGTGAAAAAGTTGTTTCAACAATTGACGCGAGCGCGCTTCCTTTTCCCGCCTTCTCAAAAGTAGCCAATCACAATCGCGATGTACACGGACGGACGGAAGGACAACTGGGCTTCCTGTGTCGGTTGATCAAAACTCAACTGCATGGGTTTACCATTTTTCCTTAGTTATGGTGCTCCGCTATAATAGCAAGAAAAAAATATATATACAAATTTCAAGAACAGAACTCAAGAGTCCCGCTCTGTCACTCTGTTCCACGCGGTATCCTGCCGTCAGTTTTATGTAATGTCCAACTCTAGTTTTTACCCAGAACCCCCCTCCTGAAATATTGATGAGAACGTGATGAATGGCAGGAACGATGACTTTATAACTAAATGGTACTTACGCAATCCAACTTCGACGCATTTTCCAGTGTTTATCAGAATACAATGGGCATCTTTACTGCTAATAGGTTTACTGCCTTTTGCAGTGGCTGACTTGTGTGCTGCAAAGTCTTTAGGTACCGCACATGTGACTTTAGAAGAACGCCAGCGGATGCCGTAGTCGGCTCTATGCCGTGGACATATAGTTATCGATTCATGTTTTTTCTCTATTTCAAATATACCTGTTGTACAAATAAAGTTTCGCTTTTACCGCTATATTTGTGATTTAATAAGAAAATTTACGATAAAACAGGTTCTTACTGTTCATTAAAATTATCATGAAAAGAAACTATGACAAACTTAAACTATTGCACGTTTGTACTAATTACCTGCGCGTGCGAGAATCAGCTTCATTTCATTGTCGATGGCCCCGTCTCCACTGATCTTGAAGAATTTCAGGTGGTCTAAAACATCTTTTTCGCATTCTTTCAATGTGACGTAGACAGCCTGGCTTGGATAATCTGGACTTACCCCACAAGAACCAGGATTTTCCAAGAGTAAAGAGTAACCACACGATGCCATCTTACAAATACGCACGTATCGCGGAGACGACTTCGTTATAATGAAAGCGCGCTTGCGTAAGTACAAACATTGYACAAGCTGGAATCCAATTAACTGGAAAAACCCGCTATTGAACAAGTTTTCTCTAACAATCACTCCTCAATAATATTGTATTATATAATTAGTTTTCAATAATACTCAAAAGTTCGGGTCAAAGTACTACAATTTTGATTTGGTTTAGTTTCAACTGGAASTTTTTAAAAAAATCGATACTGTTTACATTATGTCCTTTGACATTGATCCAGATAATCCGTCTAATCGGTCAAATCATATTCCTCCGGGATCTTTTAATGGCTCAAAGTCCTCATTGTGAACCTCAAATACATTTTTGCTGCTTTTTTAAACATCAAGGAATAAAATTTAACATCAAATAACCTTTGAATATCATTGTTGTTTGATGTACTGTATATAATTTATGCGTAACGCTTCAGTTGGCGTGACGCGTAAACTGGAAATACCTCACTTCAAACTTTGGTCTGTCAACACCAAACTATTTCGAGTCCAAGCATAAAACTTCTGTGACATAACAAACAATAACCAGGCTTTCGCTAGGTATAATTTTTGTCTAACAATTTTAGATACCAGAAAGGTTTTTTGGCCTTTGAACCTTTGAAAAACAGGGTTCACAAGAATGCTCTAAAAATACAAATTGTCAAAGTAAAAACTTAGTTTTATTGCGAAACTAAACTATAATGATATATAAATACACGAGAGAAATATTMGATTCATTAGTTTTAAACTAAGTCGTCAGTCGATCAATAAAGTTAGCTGGAAAATCAGTATGCGTAGGCCAGAAAATCGGCTAATTGACCGCCACATCACAATTTCGTAAATATCTCCCGAAAAAAAAATCGCACCAACTTTTTAGTATTTTTCCCATGATAGGAATGCTAAATGGGATCATTTGGTGAAATAAAAAAAAATTCGAATTTTTTCATTTGTCATGGGATTCTCGATTTTTACTGGCAAAGTGTTTGCTTGAGGTTTTTGGACTTAAGTGGTGATCAGTGCCCGAAAATTAAAGAAGTTTTCTTTGATTTTGTAAACCTTGATCAAACAAGCGGAAAAGCAATATCTGACGCTATATTGCAAAGCTTATCCGTGCACAACATTGATGTTGCACAAGCAAGAGGCCAGGCTTACGATGGTGCAGCTGCAATGTCCTCTGAAGCATGTGGTGTGCAAGGTCGAATCAAAAGAGTTGCACCGTATGCACTGTACACCCACTGTAACAGCCATGTATTAAATCTAAGCATAGCAGCTGCATGCAAGCTACCAACAATAAGAAACATGATTGGGGTAGTAAATGAAACGTACTTGTTCTTTCATAACTCCCCAAAGCGTCAAAGATTTTTCGAGCAARTTCTTGAAATTTCTTCTTGTACTTCACGAAAGGCAAAGTTGAAAGGGCTTTGTAAAACCAGATGGGTTGAGCGACATGAGTGTTATGAAACTTTTTACGAGTTTTACGAGTTTATTTGTATAAGCCTAGAGGCTATTAAGGACAAAAACTCACATCCTGGCATTTACCAGCCTMTAGATTTTTCATGGGATAGAGAGACCGTAATTAAGGCACAAGGCCTTTTTGCGTCTTTAGAGAAGTTTGAATGGCTTTTCACATTTCTTATTGTGAAAAACTGCCTGGAAACTGTAAAGCCAATTGCAGCTAAACTACAGAAGAGTGACCAAGATGTGTTTACTGCGTACTCGATGATAGATGATGCAATTGAAAAGATGGAACGGATGAGATCGAACATTGACCAAGAGTGCCATGAGTGGTTTGAGGATGCCTCCGAACTTGCATCTAAAGTTGGTGTGGAAGTGAACGTTCCAAGAATAACAGGAAGGCAAGTACATCGAAATAATGCCCCAAGCACAAACGCAGAATCCCATTATCGAATAAACGTTGCTTTGCCCTTTCTTGATCACTTGTTAGAGGAGATGAAGTTGCGTTTCAACGAAGAAAATCGGGTGGGTGCAGAAATTTTTGGCCTGGTTCCAAGTGTTATCGTGAAAAGAGATGATCTTTCTCAAATGAAGAAGAAACTGGAATTTTGGCAGCATGATCTACCTTCCCCTTCTTCGCTTCTCTTTGAGTTGAAAGAATGGCAAAACTTCTGGCAAAAGCTAGACCCCGAGGTAAAASGGCCTGGAAATCTAGTTGAATGCTTGAAATTTGCCGATGAGGATCAATATCCCAATATAAATATCATTCTTAAAGTCGGATGTACACTACCTGTTGGATCTGCTRAAGCAGAGCGCTCATTTTCTGGTCTGAGGAGGATTAAATCTTACTTAAGAAACAGGATGACTGATGAGAGGCTTGCAGGACTCGCCCTAATGCATTTACATCATGAAATTGAAATCGACAGTGATGAGATTTGTAAAAGATACATTGCTGCGAACAAGAGACGACTATTTTCCAGCTGCATTTTTTACAATTAAAGTAAGTAGCTGATACGCCATTTCACTTAATTTTCGCGTCACTTTAATTTCACGATCAAGAAAATATCGCAAAGTGCCGTGAAAATTCGGATGCGCGAAAATTAAGTGACTATATAGTTGTTTTCCCGTACATCATATTTTATGAAATCAGCTTAATGCTGATTAAATACAGTCGAATTATACACTTAATAGAGTTTTATCGCAGGTAAAGGACATTTAGATTGGATGCATTTGGTTCAGATTCGTATTCATGTCAAGTCAACGAAGACTTGATAATTGGTTTTATGCAAAACCTCGAAAATAAAGTGACTTGGAATTTACCAAATTTGCAACATCGCCAAAATTAAGTGTCGCCAATTATCGCGTTCTCAAAATCGCGAAATTTCGGTGTAGCAAAAATTAAGTGTAATAAGGTTAATTATATTAAAGATGATTTTCAAATTGGGCTTCCTGTGTCAAACCGCGCGGGAAGCCTACGTCATTTTTTTCCGGACCCCCACCCTTAAAAAATCCTGGATCCGCCCTTGCTAAGTCATCTTCATTAATACTATGGCTGGTTGAAATCCTTTCATCAACATCCTTAMATACATCACTGATGATAGACATCACTTTCTGGCCATGCCGCTTATCCCAGATTTCAACAACTTTGCATACATCTGATAAAGAAAATAGGTTGTGCAAATGTTTCATGACTTGAGATATTTGTTCCTGATCAAAACCCAACATGAATGGAATGTTTGTCACAGTCTTTAACTCTCCATTTGCCGATGCTGATAAAAATTCTGTTAAAAGTGACTTATGATAGCTAATCAGCTGTTCTTCCACTAGTTGTCTTTGATGCATCTGTACTTCTCTCGATTGATAAAACTTTGGTGTCTTTTCTTCCTCTTTGGGCATTGGATATTTTGCATGCGTTTTGCAGTCTGGCAGTTGGCAACAGCAAGATGGACAGATGAGCAATATCTGGTTTTTCACAGTCACTTTGGAAATAATTTAAAAGTGTTTTTCTTGTGCATTTAGTATTTCGGATAAAACATTTGATGTCCCCATCAACATGATTCAAAAGCATTCCCTGGTACAAAAGGTATGATGTACTTTGGCTGCCATCTCGTCCTGCCCTTCCTGTTTCTTGAACAAAGGTCTCAACATTTTTTGATGGACCATAGTGGATCACTCTGCATACCCCTTTGCAGTCTACATCCATGCCAAACGCAATAGTTGCAACTAGCAAGCGTACTGTTCCCTTTTCACTTTGAAATGAAGAAATGATGTTATTCTTATTTTGATCTGGTGTGCACGAGTGCAGCATTTCTAATAATGGATGTTGCTCTCCTGTGTCAGTACGTATAATTAGATCTTGTCCCAGCATTCCTTTCAGAACTCCATAAATAATGCCACACTGCTTAATCGTTTGGCAATAAATGACAGTTCTTTCACAATGTTCCTTTTTATTCTTGAGTTCTTCTGCTAGCCAACCAAAATACCATTCGAGATCGCTGTCCATTTCCATTAATGTTACAGTGTATTGACCTTTGAAAGTTAATAGAAACAAACTGAAATTACATGTTCATGTAGTGTATCAATACTATAATATAATCATTAATGTATAATGATTTAAGGAATAAAAGACGAAATTCCGTGTTTGATACTCTGATCAAAACACGCGGGATGTAGGGAGAGCACGAGAGAAAAGCGTAGGAAACCACGACGCGTAGCGGAGTGGTTTCCAGCTTTTCGAGTGCTCTCCCTACATCCCAAGTGTTTTGATCAGAGTATCAAACACGGAATTTCGTCTTTTATTTCTTTTCTAAAATTAAAAGATTACGAAAATTGTGTAAAGAATTCTGACTTTTGATACGATATAAAACGATGAATTCTCCTTACATTGCAGTTGTCTGCAGCTTCTGTAGCTTCTAGACCTTCTAAAACGTTTGATAGCTCTTCTTCTGGGATATCATCCCAGAGGACATCATAAATAGGCATTTATTCGTTCATTGTTCTTGAAAATGAATGATAACAACAACAAATGCAAACGGCGGGAAAAAAGAAATTTTTGACGCGCGCGAGCGTGTTTTGATACTGTAATCAAACATGGTTTTCGACCAATCACAGCGCGCGTAGTATCCTAAATATTTTAGAAACTGTAATCAAACATGGTTTTCGACCAATCACAGCGCGCGTAGTATCCTAGATATTTTAGAAAGATGTTTCAAAAGTTAAAATCTCTCAACAAAGATTATGTTCAACGAATAAAATGTAATAAGGATATATTGATAAGAATAGTGTTTTCCATACAATGTTTCTGGTAGATCAAAAATTTAAGTAATTTTTGAATTTTATTATTATTGAACATGATTTTACTGAAAAATGATCATGCCTTGTTTGGACTTTCAGTGATTTCAAATGGATATCTCATTAAAAGTACACTCTTTATGGTATCTTGAGTAAGCTTTGTTGCTGTTGCTGTTAAAGCTAGCATAGGGACCTTGGGTGCTAGGGATTTCAATTCATATAGTTTTCCGTACGCTTCTCGAAAAGCATTCATCTTATTACTTGCTGACGTTCCCCTAAAGAAAATGGAAAATATCATAAAAGTTAAAAGATTTTGCTTGAGTAAGTAACGAACTTTGTTTATAAGACACGAACACGAATAGACCTCTATAACTTACCATTGGTTGATGACATGGGCTTCGTCTATAGCTATCAGACTCAACTGTTTAGTGTAGATAGCGTTTGTTAACATCGCCCTCCATCGATCATTGCATAGCCATGCTTCTGGAGAACCAAAAACAACGCTAAACTCCCTGCTCTGATATTATACCTTTTTATAGAATTTAACGGCAGAAATAGTGTATATGACAGGCGATYCATGAGTAAGATAAAATTACGTGATTATGACCTTTGACTTATCTACTCGTATAATCTTATTTTTGAGTGGCCCCAAAATATCATTGCATCGATCGAATGAGGAGATGTATCTCTTCAACCTAGAAGTAATTTACGTTGCAGAACACGGTACCAGTAGAGATATATCGAGTTGAACTTGGTCTATTTTCGACAAGACAAAATATGTCTCGAAAACGCCAAACTTCAAAAATCTCTAAAATATTCAAAACGAATGTAAATTTAATAGAAAAGCGCTTCAATGTATCGGATTTCATATATGTAAGGGGCGAGATCATAGGATTTTTCAGTAATAAAATATCAGACCACAACTGTAGGCATCATTTAGGTCCAAAAAATGACCCCAAAACGGCCAAATCCAATATTGCTCCCGTTCTCCGAAAATAAAGATCCAAATTCTTTTTCGACTATTTGGGAATTATNCATAAGATTTCGAACCATATAATTGTTGGTGATCAACTCTGTAATTCTGATAATTGGTCACGATGACAATAAAGTGTTTGGAACTGTGGTCGTGTTTCAACATAACACTTGTATCATATTTTTCTTATCATATTTTTCTTATCTATGGAATGCTATCAGAAAGAGACAGTGAGCGCTTCATATGGAACAGATCTGTGAATAACTTTGGATTAAAAGGGGGGAAACATTCCCCTTGATGAGGATACAGAACACAGTAACAACTACCTTAAACAAAGGATTCGCAAATTTGGATCAAATGTCACTGACCTTGCAATCACACGACTGAGCAGAGCAGAAAAAGCATCCAAATCCATTATTGCAAGTCTGGATGAGGGTATAAATCGTGCATCAAGGAGTGGCAAACATGGCAAGTCATCTGATGAGCTTGACATTGAAGAGCTAGTAAGACATGGAATGGAACATGATATTTTGCAACACAAACATGGTCATGAAGGAAGAAGTTACCAACACTTTATCAATTTTCAGAGAAATTATCTTTCCAATTTGAGTGCATCAAGTTTCTACAGCTGGATCATGAAAAATAAGAGATATATAAGAGGTATAAGGGCTAGATAGCCTTTTATATCATGCTCAATTGCAATAGTTAATCTTATAAATAACCAGAATTTAATTCACTGTGCAAGCAATATTACATGATGGCATACAAATTTATACTCTTGCAATAAAAAGGTCAATTTAGATTAAATATCACTAAAAAACTAACAAGCCATGATTGCAAGAGTATAAATATATTCCATTCTTACTTGCAAGCGTACCGTGTTATACCCTTCTGGCTTACAATGTTAGATGCAGCTCTGTATAAAATATACTTGAAAGTTCAAATCCCATATACATGTATTCATTCTCCAGAAATTTAAATGATTTAAAAGTACTAATTGCCATAACACACTTAACTTCTCTACTTTTGGCCACGCCATAAATATTCTTGAATAATCAATCATCATTTCAGCCTTAATTTAATACAGCATTGATTGCTTTCAAGATTTACATAGCTATTCGAACAATGATTCTTTGAATCTTTACAACTTGAAAGCAATGAGCTTGATATGTATATCATAAGTTCTCTTGTTGATGTTTGGTTTGGTATTGGACCTTACACAGCCGTAGCAAACTCTTGATAGCAAATAAGTGACTATAATAAGGACAATTCATGTAAATTAGCAAACTACAACCTATTAAATTTGAATTCATTATACTATTTGAAAATTCACTTGTATGTATGCTGAAACTGTCAGAAAAGGTTAATACTAACAGAATGCATGTTTATTTCTGATAAATACAAAAGTTAAAGTTTATCTGTATCTGCATATGTTTTCCTCTTCATCTTCGCCAGATGAGCTTTCTTCTAGGTGAGATAAGGAATAAGTTGTCTATGACCATTTCCAACAGTTCATCATCAYTGAGCAAATCATTCCATTCATCCAGAACATCAAAACACTCTAAGCAAGGGCGGATCCAGGGGGAGGGTCCCGGGGGTCAGGACCCCCCCTGACTTATCAATTAAAAAAAAGTTATTACGGGCAATAATTCTTTTTGACGTGAAAGAATTCTGGTAAATGTCACTAATTGTCAAAATTATTATATATTTTAGTAAACTAATTGAAAACTCGATCGTCCAACCCGGCTTTTATATTTCTATTTGTTTGGGTTTCCTGTTTATTAAAGTCACGTGACCAGGTTAGCGCGCGCGTATGCAGAGTTGGCGGGAAACAGCCAGATAGTCAAGGCCTGTCAAGTGAAGTGAACGACTGTGCTCAGTTGAAAAAATGTCTAATAACTTAAAAATTACATCTTTCTTCAAGAAAAAAGAAGACAGTAAGTATGATTATTCCTTCGTTTATATGTATTGATACTCTAAAACCTTGTTGTGTGCTATTTGAGCTGTAATAAGCTTCAAAATCAGCTAACAACAATTGATATTTTAAGCTGCTGTTGACGATCAAACACCTCAAAGTCAAAGCGAGGGAAATAATATCGAACATAATGAAGATTCTCATTTAGAAATGGAAGGTAGGATAAAAAAAGATGTTAAAGGACAAACTTCGACGGTTACTGGGTCCCTATGAAACAAGAACATATTTTGTGAACTTTTTCAGCCGAGAATTGTGAACCACCTCTGGCTACCGACGCTACCGGCCGCGATTGTCATGATCAGAATATTGTTGCTGAAATTGAAAGTAAGATTAACTTAAGCTTATAGCTTATCATTTATATATCGTACTCTGAATAATTTATCCTTAATATTAATCAGATTAAATAATCGTATTAAGTACTTTGAAAGGCTAGACGACCTCTCATTTTTTTACCAGCTTTGCCTNCATGAGTAAGATAAAATTACGTGATTATGACCTTTGACTTATCTACTCGTATAATCTTATTTTTGAGTGGCCCCAAAATATCATTGCATCGATCGAATGAGGAGATGTATCTCTTCAACCTAGAAGTAATTTACGTTGCAGAACACGGTACCAGTAGAGATATATCGAGTTGAACTTGGTCTATTTTCGACAAGACAAAATATGTCTCGAAAACGCCAAACTTCAAAAATCTCTAAAATATTCAAAACGAATGTAAATTTAATAGAAAAGCGCTTCAATGTATCGGATTTCATATATGTAAGGGGCGAGATCATAGGATTTTTCAGTAATAAAATATCAGACCACAACTGTAGGCATCATTTAGGTCCAAAAAATGACCCCAAAACGGCCAAATCCAATATTGCTCCCGTTCTCCGAAAATAAAGATCCAAATTCTTTTTCGACTATTTGGGAATTATAAGTACCCCAAATGGTGTAATTCGGGAAAGTTTAAAGAATTTTGATTTTTCAAGGTCTGCCGACGATGTTCGGTTTTTACAAATATCGTGTTGGGATCATCTTCAACGTTAATCGTGTCAGAAATTTCCGACCAAACTATAAGAATATCTCTATAAAAAAGAGGAATATTTTGAGGATTACATTCTTTATTGAAATTGAGCTTTAAAAAGCTACGTAATTCAATGGAATTAACAGATTAAAACAATGGGGGGTGGGAAAGCTCAAGAATACCCTTTAATACAAAGAACGTTACTAGCAATATGAAACATTCTGCTACCCACAAACGGACTCGTTAAACAGC